CCCTCCCCTCCCCTCCGTTGGGCCTTTGTTTACCCTCATGAGGACTAGAGCCTTACTTAGAGAGTTTGTAGCTCAGTGACTGGACTGTTCTTTTCAGTGTCCAAGGTTTCTTTCCTGAGTAGCACCAGGACTGGGGTCAGCGTGCTAAAATGTCCACTGGCTCCCTCCAACCCAGCTGCCGGTGGGGTTTATGGGTGCTGTAGTCCATGGTTTATGGGTGTTGTAGTCCAAGAGACCTGGACGCCCCCTCTGGCTCCACAAAGGTCAGGTTTCAGCGCACAGTGCACGGAAGAGCCAGGAGGGAAAGTCTGCCAGGTATTTGTATTTATTTACCGGGCATAAGCGTATCTGGTTCGCACAACCCTCTCGATCACACCTTGTGGTCTCAGGAGCCCTTCCCATTTGCAGAGCGTTGGTTGATGTGGGCGATATCGAGGGATCTTGGCTGCAGTAGAAACCAAAACGGAGAACGTTGGAAAGGGTTCTTTGGTTGACTTTGCAGACCCCCTGAAAGGGTCTTGGGGCCCCCAGAGCCCCCTTTAAGAACCGCTGCCCTGGATCCCGGGGACTTGGCGGGCTGGACCCAGCTGCGGTGGCTTTCAGACTGAGCTGCGGGGTTGGGCGGCTGGCAGGATCCCGGCAAATCGTGGCTTGTTCAGGCAGCTTTGGGTGCGTTGAGACCCGAGTCAACTTTGGGCTCTGGCGGACGCCAACTTACCGCAGGGCGCCCCGTCTTACCCCAGGTTTTCTCCGGCTTTTCTGGGGGACCCTTGGCCTCCCTCGCAAAGCAGCCGTTGTCCCCACAAGGCCCGTTTCCTCCCCTCTCTCCGGGCTTTTAAGATGGAGCTATTTGGAGAATCTCGGAATTAGCAGTCAAGTGCATTCTGGGAAGAGTTGGGATGCTCCCAATTTTAGGGCAGCGTTTCTCAGCCTCTTTAAGACAGGCGGACTTCAACTCCCAGAATTCCCCAGCCAGCATGCTCGGACCTCAACTCCCAGAATTCCCTGGCCAGCATGCGCAGACCTCAACTCCCAGAATTCCCTAGCCACCATGCACGGACTTCAACTCCCAGAATTCCCTAGCCACCATGCACGGACTTCAACTTA